TTCAACTATCGGTCCTTACATCACCATAAACTATCTAGGCTGACTAAGTTCTTATTCAAGTATTACTGTTAATCTCGAAATCTGTTTGTTCTGAAGATTGGTCTTTTAAGCCAGCAGCATAAAGGACGATGTTCTTGAAGTTTGCATATCTGCCTCCAGACTGATTTCTTACTGGATTTATAAAGAGTATGCCAACGTCACTAGTGATACATTGACTGGTTACGAGCAAGGAGAACTCAATGACAAAAAAAAATTAGTCAACGTTTAGATAATTTATTAGGTAATAAGCAAAATTGCACGACTTCAAACATACACAACTTATCGCCTCATAAGCGAGTAGACTAGAATTAAATATTTACACTATTTGACTATTGCCATTTGGCTATCCAGCCTTTATATGGTTCATTGAAAATGATGTGAGTTAGATGTTATCCTTCTCTTGCCCCAACCGAAGATTATGACCTACTATCGGTTGACGCGATCTCACTATGGGTAGAAGAGTTTGGTTTCGAAGACTCTCTTAGTCCACAATTGTTGGGCTTACTTCGATTTCAAGTAAATGTATCTACTGAAAATATTCAAAGACGACTCTGGATCCCTCTTGGTCAGCCGTCAGTTGACTTTAATGGAAGATTCTGGCTTAGGCTGTCTCCGAGGCGATCTCATTCGATTTTGGTGAAAACACGCCAGACTCTTAGTTCATCTAGGAGCTCTATTTTAAGTTGTAGCTGAATCGTTACTTTCCTATTTTTGTCAGGATACTACTCACTGTTAGTGAGTAGCGCAATTTTTAGGGGTCCAGCATGTGATGTTTGTCGTTATGCTGAAATTGCAGTTAGCAGGTCTGTAAATGTCTGGTTTCTACTCTAGTCCATGTTGTTCTTTTTTGTCTCTTATCGCTTCCACTCCTGTGGCAGTGAACGACCGCGTATTTCACTTCTTGAGGCCGTGATTAATGTGTTTACTTGCATCCATCAATACTGTCTCTGCCATATTAGTTATTCAGAAAGACTTTGATACCTGCAGCCGTAAACCCCCTCTTCAGTCTTGTGACATCCCGTGGGCTGTTCCGTGAATGTCACTGCAGCGCAGTGAGGATTCCCACCCTCTCAGGCCCAGCAAGTCCAGGTAGCCCATCAATTTGCGAGAAGCCATACGCTCGGAGGGGAGGGGTTTACGCTATCATGTAGTTTACTTATATCCATGCCCATTTTTTATATAAGAGATAAACAGATAATTAGTTATTCTGTCGTCCCACGCGGCTGCTGACAAACGCATGCTGTATATGTATGTCATTCACACCCTGTTCTTGTCTATTTACTGAGTGTTTATAGCTATTTTGAGTCTAGAGACCTGAGTATGCTGAGATGGAGACACTCTGAAGCCCATAGATCTCGATGCCTGGATCTTCCTGTTGGAAGCATGAAGCGTAAGCACGTAGACACGACTTCCAATAGATGTATATTCCTTTCGAGGTTCAACCCCGAACATTTAATTACCTTTTCAAAGAAGCGTTAAAAACTTTCGAGAAAAATGTCACACTAGGAGGCTAAGAAACTTTTTTATCAAAAGATAAAATTAAGATAACCATGTTAGTGAATGGGCAAGAATGTGGATTTGAGGACTAGATGGAGCTTGAAGTTTCCTTATGCAGACTATTCTAACAGGTAAACACTTATTTTAATGAGCAGCCTAATGACGGTAATGATGATGTTGATTAAAGTTGGCCCTGGGCTTCTTTTATATTATCTTGTGCTGCCAAGGAGAAGCAATTTATGATTAATCGGTGAATCTGAATGAAAGGCCAATAGTTGACAGAGAAATGCATATAAATAGTAAAATAAATAATACTCATGCTAAATACAGACTAGCATACTAATTTAGGGTTAAAATAGTAATGGAACAAGCATGCGTTTTGTCGAAATAAGAGAACCTCTGGAGGCTATTCTTATAGGCAAGGAAACTTAGTAGGCCTGTACATTTATGGCAGCACTAAAGTGGGATAATTGTGTATTTTATGATTTTCCAAAACGCCGTTTTCATAATGGACATTGCCTTTTCACAAAGAGTTGGTTTCACCTCAGCTTTTCAAGGCGATATCGAAGAGATAACGACCAAATTTACCGTCTGTCGTTGTTGTCATCGATGTCAGACAGCTTTTCAGCTCTGCCCGTCTCAGCATCGAGATGGAACTCGAAAAACTGACACATTACGGTTCTACGATCCGATGCTGTTTTGGCCAAATATGTCGTGGCGATCTCTGTAGCCTGTATGATATCATTAGTTGATTGACGATTAGAGTCGCTCTGAATCCGGGGGTATGCCGGATCACTTCGGAGCTGATCTGGATCAGAAATGTGTGCTTTTCCTAGGAGGGACGAAGGCAGAATGCATCCATTTTTAGCTCCACGTGGCATGACGGGAAAGATGAGGATACAGACAGGGTTGGACAGGTTGACATCGCAGGACCCCGAATAGACATTATCATGTCGTTGATAACGGGCCTCCAATCCCGATAAATCAATGCTCGACTTTCGTCTCGCCCAGCGACACAGAAACCGTCAGATCAGCAGGCATCTAGTGGGCAAAACCTCGGAAGGACTGATAAATTAAAACACGCGATAATTTATTTAAATGAAACCTAGGTCTATTCGATTCATCTGGTGACTCGAAAAAATGTTGTTTTTTGATGCTATGCTTGTCACGCTGGGACAGACGAAGCTCGACACTGATTCATAGTGTTGAGACAAAGGTGAACTGAGGACAAATGCATTCAAATAGACAATTATAGCAAGTTTAAGAGAATTTATTTTCTATTTCTGGAGGGACAGACCTACCCCTCCCTTCCACCCAGACTGTCCGTGAATTGGAGGGTCAAAAGACGACAACCTGAAATTGACCTCAAGCCACGAGTAAGGCATGACAAATGATATGCGCTGAGCTGTGTCAAAGGTCCAGTTGAGGGCTTTTATGAACACACAATCTGGGTAAAAAGATACCTAAGTACTGCAAGCAATAATTATTGTCATGGGTAAATTAACTTAATTCTGGCCTGCTTTATGCGCCCAGGCTTGTGCACATCCAGATTGCTTTTGCAAATAAAAGAAAGTAGGGAAATCGTAGAGAGGATTGTTTCGAAGTGCATTAACTGATATTCGGCAGAGAGAATCAAGGTTAGTTTATTTCCTGAGGAGTGGGAGCTTTCATATAGTTTTTGCGGATTGCGTCGCTCATGAGTAGTTCAAACGGCGTCCAAGCTGGGAGAAGCACTCACATGAAGAGAATAATTACAGGACAAGGATTAATGCAGTAGATATAACTAAGTGGGATAAATAATTATAAATACATATGTAGGTTTCAACTAATATACACTTTACTTTGATAAATAGTTATTTCATATGTTCTACAATTCGATTCTGTCCGAAATTACATAATCGAAGGGACACGCCTCCTCTGGTCAAGAAACAAAGGTCATTTGCCATAAAGTCCATAGGACTGTATGGACTATCACTTGGATTGTGTAGATATGTCTACATGCACAGGTAAGGCATTATCCAAACCTTTTAATATTTGCTGTGATTTGAGTTGTCCTTTAGGTACAGATAGCAATAAACGACTGAGGAATTAGTCTGCCTAAATAATGACTTAGTCACCCTGTGTCGTCAAGGCGGATTAATTGACTGAAAGTTGAGTCTTCTCACAATCAGATGATGAGGCCTCATGATGCCATTGAATTTGCCTTTTTCCTTACCTCCAGAATGGATAACTGTTTAGATCTCGTCTAGGCCTCATCAGCACCTCAAATGGGATTCGAAACACTTTTATGTTTAAGAAGTATCAACAGTCTCGCAGCTAGCTTGCCTCGAAAATAGGTAACATGTTCGTGTGTGTTTTCGCCAACGATGCCTACATTAATATGATTTGGGAGATATCTGGCAAGTGAAATCTGCCCTGTGACTCACAAATACTTGTGGCTGTGTTGCGGAGTAGCAACGCGTCCAAGATACGCACAGCGCGATTTCGAACCATTTTGGCGATGCGGATGAGATAATGAGGCGGAATCAAAATTGGAGTATAATTTGGACTGAATAACTTTTAGCAGACAAGGCTAGATGGTCAAGTGCTCATCTAAAAAGTAGTAATAGTTCC